CATATGTCTATAATTTTCCTTTGTTTTATCTTCATTTTGAACTTTAAGTTTAAGTTAAGTTAACATTAAGTTTTCTGAAGCAATTTTTTTCAATAAAAAACTTGTATATTTGTATATATATATATATATATATATAAATTACTTTTTATTCAGGAACCTGTCGAAGCTTTAAAGATCATAACGTCTAAGCTCATAAAATTTTCTCTAATTGGTACAACGAATTTACGAAATGCGTTTATTTAATTATATTTTCTACTGTTCAGTAAAATAGAAATGTCAATCTTTTAGGTGGTGATTGTCCAGTTCGGGGGACGGGCATTTTCAACCGCTCCACTTTCACTGGATCAGTGGCTTTGGTGCTTATTTTTTGGTGCCGGGGTGCTGGTGTGGGGCCAGTGCATCACTACCATCCCCACTAAGAAGATCCCCAAGACGTTCACGTGGGGTTCGGGCAACCCAGAAGACTTGGATGCCGGAGGGTCCCTGACGGAAGACACATCAAGAGGATCCATATCTCAGGAAGTAAAGAGGACAGGACAGATTCTGTGGATAAGGGGGCTAACGCGCCTTCAAACTCAGGTAATCTTCGCCCGCACCTGCTTTGTTTTCTGTATATTGCTTTAATATGATCTATTATGATAATGCTTATATTTAATGTCGTATGATTGTTATAATAATGCTTACTGTCGTATCATCGTTATGATAATGCTTATACTTAAATAGAATTTTAAGATTAAAATATATTTTTCTGGTCATTTATGATATAAATATAAGTATAAAATATTCGTGAAAACGTAAGTTTTTTAATACATGATCTAATAGAACTTTGGTTAGCAATCCTGTTCTTTAGTATTCCAGAAAATTAGGATTCAAACCATGAGAATTAGGATTTGGAATATCTAAGCAATTTCAAATTAAACACGAAGGCTATTTTATTCATATATATATATATGTATATGTACATATATGTATATATGTATATGTACATATATGTATGAATATATATATATATATTAATATATATATATANATATATATATATATATATATATCCTCCTCCGTTTTCTCAGACAATAAAACTGGTTTTCATGTCTTCTGTACCTCTTTTCCGATTAGTGATTATTTGGATTTCAATAATATTTCTAGCACTGTCCCAATATTTTATCTGTCCTACTTAACTGTGTAGTTATGGTGTGACAGATGACGATATTTAAATATTTTAAAAAATAATTATTTAGAAAATATTAGCCAATGATAAATAGAAAGAAAATATTAGTTAATAATAAAGTTTTTAAAAATACGATTTAAAAAAATTATAAACAATAATAATATGCATAAAAAATATAATTTATATTAAATAAAATAATAAGTTTCAAGAAAATAAAATCTAAACAATATTCAAACAAAATTTTAAAAAAATATTTAAACAAGCAATTTTAGTAGAGTCATTTATTCATCCTTAAAGTAACAACACAGTTAAGTAGGATAGATTGCATATTTGGACGACGCCGTATCTTTTTTCAATTATTAATTTGCCCCCCCCCCACCGTTCGAACTTTTTGAAATTTATTTTTAATGAAAATTCTAAGATACATAATAAAGGAATAATTACGAAACATTCTAAATAAATTAATAGCTAACTTCCATCAAGGTGTTCTTTGTCGTCAGGAAATTACAATAATTGTATCAATGCATCTAAGGTGGTACAATTTTTTTCAATACCAAATTGTAATATGGAGTATTTTAATGTACTTAAAATAACTGATTTTTCTTTTCTTTTAAATAGTTAAAAAATATTATGAAATTCACTTTTCTCTCTGTTCTGTGAGTGTTTTTTTTTCAATTATAAATTCTAACTGAACTAATTAATTAATTGGAATATAAAATGCTCAGTTTATTTCGTGTAGTTTTACCAACAATTTATCCTTCATACAAACGTTAAGACTGAATTTTAGATTTTAAAAAGCAATGTATCAAATTTAAAAAAAGTATTAAAATTACAATTACTAATTACGATTCATTAAACTCTGAAATAAATAATTTAATATGATTAATTAAATTATACCCATATTCGCTAATTGAAATTTTTTCAAACTGCGCATTTTAATTCTTTAAGTTGCTTTACTTTCGGAAAATATGTTATAAATATTTATAATAAATTCATGATTATTTAGAGATTTAATGTTGTAATCACTTTTGGTTTATATATTAAGAGCCTTTTTATAAAAATTTAAATAACTCTTTTTACAAACAAAATTGAAATGTATCACATCCTTTGCCATATGTTATGTTATTGATGACAATGAATCAGTTCCATAACTTGGAATTTTTGGAGCTACTCCGAGCTGATCTGATGTTACCGTTCGCAAACAGACGAAAAAGTTTAATTTTAAGAGAAGAGTGGAGATATTCCATAATTCTCTTTTTGTTATAAACTAACAAATTAAGCGTTGAACTAAAAAGTTTTGAAAACAAACTTTTCCTTCTAATGCAAAATATTTTCAAACGCTCCACCGACAATATTTTTTTTCTTGCAATTTTTCCATAAAGATTAAAATTTATTTGAAATATACATTTAAAAAATCAGAATTTGATTGGTGCATTTTAAGCAGAACGATCAAACTAATTTTATGAAAATCGTGCATTGTATCTTACTATTCCTTAAGATATTAACTTTGCTTATTGTTGTTTGCTTTTTCTGATAGAATTATTTCAAAGATTTAGGTAAAAGTTATTATTAAATCAAGAATAATGACGTAATACTATAAAGTGGATTGCTCAAAAAGATGACCATCAAGCAATTACCCGATTGAAAACTATACAAAAATAAATATACAAAATGAAATGACAGTTGACAAGTGCATCAAAATGGGAGGCCATTTTCAAGACTTGACTGACGTAAATGTTATGGAACAAAAATGATTTGAAAAAACGTTAAATTGCTCAGAAAAAATAGAAAAATAAAGGTGAGTAGCAAAACTGGAAAAAGAAAGCCACAGAAGCCAAGAAAGAAAAAAGATGAAGAACAGAACAAGAAAAAACGCAGATACCGAGAGGCAAATCAAAGTAAAAAGCATGTCCATGCGTAATGGAGAGGTGGGAAGGAGGTCGTTAGCAAGGGAATCAACATTCAAATGAATAAAACAAGATTCCAGGGTATCAAGATGAGTTGATGTGACTAGGGTAGAAATAATTTTAGTATTGTCGAATTTGTTCCCAAGATTCCAACAATGTGAACGATCATCAAAACGATTGTTTACCTTTAAAAAGTTGAAGGTATTTGGAGCGAGTTCCAAAAATTCCATATTATGGAACTGACTCATTGTTTTATTTTATTGTTTATTATTGTTTTATTATCTATAATCTATACTTTCAGTTTCAGTTGCAGCACAATGTATGTTAACATATGGATCGAAACTTGCATGTTTTAATTGTTTCAGCTAATCCTTACTAAAAAGTGTGTCTTTGTGAATATGTGTGTTGACTAATATTTAATGCTTTTATTTTTATTAAAAATATATGTGATTATGCCTGCATAATAGTGGAAATGAGGTATATAAAAGTGTGAAAATATGTGAAAATGTTTCATTAAATATATTTTTGTTTTAGATTGACTTTATTGTTATATTATTTTTAATTGCATTGACACGCGTGTATTTATTGCATAAGCATTAAAAAACGAAATAATTTTTTTTTATGCACAAAAAAGTTACATCTCATTTTTAGATTGAAGCAAATAAAATGATGGAAATAATATAATGATGGAAATAATATAAATTTATGAGTGTAAACGGTACTTCACACTTATTTCAATATATAAATGGATTGTATAAATTAGATTTACTAGTTTTTTGCTGTTTTTGATATCTGTCTGTAAAATATTAATATTACTTCATTGTTTTTCTTTTATGACGTATTTGCAATATTTATCACATTCACCAATCTTTAATTTTAATAATCCATTGTATCAAAATTCTAAATATTGATGTAAAGAAGAGATATAAAATATTGATAAAAAAGAGATATAAAATTTGATATAAAATATTGATGTTATATCAAAATTCTAAATATTGATGCAAAAATTCTAAAGATTGAGTGTAAAAAAAAAGATTTGAAAAACAAAAATGCTGCAATTGAAATAATGATTGCTATCGAGAATAAAATTCTTATGAAAATTTAATAATCTAAAAAAATATAATATTATTTCTGAAGAACTTTATTTTAAAAAAAGCTAAGGAAATATTTATTTAAACAGAGCAAGAATTAAAGTTGGCTTTTAAGCTGACCTCCTAAATTTGTAGATATTGAATTTGATTTTTAATAATTTATTATATTCCTTACCATGCTCTTATAATATTTTTTGGTAAGAAAATTTTACCCTATCTTCCTGATGTCAGAACTAGCTGATAAAAGTAAAAACCAAAATGTCAATTTCAATAGATTATAAGCATGCTTTTAATTTTAAACGGGTGTAGGTAAAAGAGTTTCATAGAGCTTTTTAAGAGTGCACTATTTAGTTTTTATAGTTTCATTTACATTAAAGTAGCTTTTAACGAATGCACAGTTTGCTTAGCTACAGCATGTAAGTAAATAATTTAGAACCTATTTGCTTGAGTTGTTAGGGAAAAACACATATCATAATCTATTTTGAATGCTTACTTACACTTTATAGACAATATTCATGCACAAGCTGATCTAACTTACTACAACGAATCAGATTACTAAATGCTTACGCATGCATACCTTTACAGTGAGCATGTGTTACTTTTTAATTACTAACATTTATTTATTCAATTTATGACTGTATTTCAAATGTATGGATTCGAATTAGTACACTTTTAGAAATTTTTCGGTAAAAATATTTAAATACCAATTTATTTAATCGGGGTGATACCATATTTAACAGAAACAGTCAAACAACCATAAGAAAGATGGTATTCAAAATGTTAAGTGTGAGAAAAAACTTTGTTGATTGTATTTTCTTAACCCCTTAACGATCTTTTAATTTTCAAGAAAACGGTCATAAAAGTGTCGATGTTTTTAGCTTTTGCATTTGTATTACGTATTTGATTAGTGCTGCAACTAGTTTAAAATAAACTAACTGTATACAATTACCTTAAAAATATCCTGGTACTGCCATCAGGTGTGTAAAATGAGAAATAAAATTTTTTCCGGGTAAAAGAGAGGAATTAGTTTTATTCTTATTGGCGCGTTACTACTGAGCACTCCAGCCCGTCAACATCACGGGAGCGAGAAATGGCGGGCGAAATCTCACCCGTCATTTTCACGGGAGCGAGAAGGAAGGTGTTAATGCGGTTAAACAACCAGAATTCTATCCGCGCCAACTAGTCCCACCTTACCAAGCCGTTTTGTTTCTCGCAGCTGGATACATACTTTTGCTGAGAAAGCTAATCAGTCAGTCTTATGACCGGCTGAACAGAGGTTCGAATCCCACCGTTGATACTACCATAGTTCCTCAATTCCTTCAGTACATGAAGAGTTTCCAGTGTTCTGCACTTTTCTATCGTTGACTCACGACTTCTGTATAACCCAATTTTACTGATGTGAGACTTTTGTCTCCTCTGTCTTTGCAATTGTCATCTAATTCCTGACTTGGCTCGAAGGTTTTAATTTTCCTCAGTTTTAAGAGTGCTGTATTGTAAGCAATACTTTCCCGTTGAGATCTTAATCTCCATTATTATTGCTATTATCTTTTTTGTAATTATACAAGACTAAAAAATGTTTACTTCTCTTTCTTTAAGAAACTGCTGTATTATACATAATTGAGACTATGTGAGACTATTGTCTTTTCAGTTTATGAAATTGTCTCGTAATTGCTTAAATAATTCGAACGAGGGGGTTAACTCTCAGATTTGAGAGAGTGCTGTATTAGACAAAGTTGCAGTTAGGTGAGTCAACTGTCTTCTTTATTGTTTGGTTCAAAAACTTGCCAGGGTGCCAAAAAACCATATAATAGTACTATCATTGCAATTATAATATCTTCAAATTATATGACTAGACTAAAAAATGATAACTTTCTTTTGCATTGAGAAACTGCTGTATTAGACACAATCGTATCTTGGAAAAATTGTGTTTTGCATCATTGAAATCGTCCCTTAATTAATTAAATAATTTCCATGAAGGAGTAAACTCTCAGATTTGATACGGTCCTGTATTGGGAACCAAAAAATCATTTGAAAAATCTTGGGGTGGCAAAATTGCTTTATCTAATATTACAATTAAAAGCTGTCCACATAATCATATATCTAACTTTATTATTTAATATTTTTTTCGTTATTTTTTATTGAAATACAGTCATAATTTGAGATATAGCTTTGCATAATCTATTTTCCAGTGCATAAAAGCATGTATTATGATTCTTAGCTTTAATTATGTATGATGCAATATGCATGCCATCTAACACAGCTACTAACCGGGGACTGCAATTGTATTTCAGCTTTCATTGCAATCAAGTATGTCGTTGCAGGTGATTGGCGGGGAGCTGCAAGACAGGTTGATACCAGTTCCCTATAGTAAAGCCGCTACTGATGAAGCGGTAAGTGACATATTTTAAGAGTAAATACAAACTAACCATTTGCATGGCACCTTTTCTAACTGGGGTTGAAACGCACAAGTCTTTTCGCCTATAACATATTTCGCCTCTTCCTGTTTTCAATTGCTGTAGTTAATGATTCTACAACTTGGATTGCTTCACACTATAGCTTAGTTTATTTTGATACGCACAGCCATGTATCTACTTCGAAACAGAATTCTCTGTTTTCTTTTCTGGAATTAAACGAATAGATTGCTTCACTTAATAAATAATGTATGTTTGAAGATGTGCATTAATATATGGTAAGAATATTAGAGAAGATCTTCTTTTTTCTTTCTGAATGAAATATTTTTAAAGTAGATTAGTTTTTCTTTTGGGGTGTGTTGGTCAAAATGTAGAGTCCAACAACTAATTATGCAAACACTGAAACTAAATGTAGTCTAGATAAAAGCAAAGCACACAACACTTCCTGTTTTATTTTAAGCATGTCAGAAATGAATGAACTAGCCATTTTTAATTTGTAGATAGATTAGCTAGAGTTAGACTCTTCAAACACGTTTTTTTTACGGATTTAAATTTTAATCTGCGTAATACTATATTTTATGCAAACTTATAAGTTAGATTTAATAATAATCTTATAGACTTAGGCTAAATAAAAGAAAGATATTTTCTCTATTGTTGCATTACTGCGATATAATTCATTAACAAACAAACATTTCAAATTCTCTACTTAAAATATTAAAAAATATATATATGAAGGAATTAATTTACGGATAATAATATTTTGCTTTAACTTATATGTTTCGTTTTAGAGAAAGTCAGCCCAATTAAGCTAAATTAGAGGGAAAATATTTTCGCTATAGCTGTTTTACTGCAATATAATTCATTAATAAACAAATATTTCAAGTGTTTGACTATAAAATTAAATATGTAAAGCAAAAAAATAAAAGACTTAATTCTAACATAACCATATATTACTTAAACTTATAGACTACTTTACAGAAACTTAGCGGAAACATCGAAAGGTAGCATAAATAAGCTTATACGAGAGATATTTTCAATTTTACTATTTTAGTGCAATATAATTCCTTTACCGACAAATACTTAAAAATTTTCTTCCTTAAAATTAAATAAGCAAAGCAAAAACAAATGTGCTACATTTAATTCACGCATAAAATTTAAGCATAATCAAAGAAATCACTAGCCTTGCAGTTGGTGAACTCGCATAATCAGAAATATGATGCAATGCTTCCATAACTAACAGTTTCTACATTACCCGAGATTGTTGGGAATAATTAAATGTTCGCACATTTATAATTTACACTGTTAGAAATTTCTCGGTTAAAATGGTTAAATAACGATTATTTTCTTTTACTATATTCAAACCGAGCATTCAAATAACCATAAATAAAATTCTAAAAAGATTCTGATATTGAAAAACTGTGAGAAAAACCATTTATTAATTCCTTTCACCTAATACGGATAAACAACCAAAATTTTATCGCACCGACTAAGCCCATCTAATGAAGCCACTTAGCTCCTTGAAACTGCGTACATATTAAAGCCGAGAGAGCTAATTTGTCAGCCTCATGATTGACAGAACCGAAGTTCGATTCCCAGCGTTGACACCACAATATTTCACCCATTCCCTTAAACACACGAAGAGTTTCCAGTTACCTGTCCTCTTCAAGGCCCATTACCTAATGAAAAAACTACCTCCTATATGCAGTTAAATTTCTTTTTTACAGTTTTGACACCATGCAACGTTGTAAATGGTTTAAAAACCGTAAAGGTAAAAAAAACGTTCTTTACCGTAAACTTTATGGTTAATTGGATGAACAGACTGCTGCGTGTTATTTTGCCATAATTTAAGAATTAAAATTCTAACAGTGTATATTTAGCAACTGATTTTCAATGAAAAACCGTAATTTATTCTTTGAATTTTCAAATTTTCAAAATTCAATATGCTACATGAATTTTCAGAAATTTTTTTTTTATTAGATACTTATTGAATGGTTTGAAGGAATCAAAATGTCTGCATGAAAAGAGTAAAAAGATTTTGCGGTTATAATTTCGACAATTTTAACAACTTTTCTTACTTCAGTTTAAGATCAAATATGCCAGACGGATCGGATATAATTTTAATTAAAAGCGATTGATTTTGAAAAAAAAATTGAAAATAAGTGCTTTTTGAAGAATGTTTTGATAAAATATTCTCCACCCATCAAAAAATTAGAGAAAAGTTATTTTGAATTCATCTATTCCCAATTTTGAAATAGCTTGTAGCGCTTTGGTGTTCTCGATTCTCGCCATCGCTATGTTCTCTATTTTAAAAACCATTAAGCAGTTTTGCGCAAATTAAGTTAGCAAAGTACGGCCAAATCATTCATTTATTTCTCATACGATAAATATATATCTATAAAATCAAACATGAACACCATGCAAGTGCAAATTAAGATCGAGTCAGGATTATCACAACTTGGAACAAGTAGAATCCTAAAAAAAAGGTTTGAGTCAACAGGGCTCATAATTTTCAGCTACAGTTTTTTTTTAAATAACGTATTAAAATTAATAAAAATAGCAAAACATCAAAATGTAAAAATTATATAAAAGTATATTAAATATGAACCAGTCAAACCATGAAGGATTTTTAAAAATGAAATTTAGTGAATAAGTGAAAAAAGTATAAAAGGCAATTTGAATTATTTAAAGTTTTACAATGCATTCCGTAAACTTGAACCTGAATCATAAGAAACTTTAAGGTACAATAACAACATATGTTCATAAGCTTGACGACTTTTAAAAGTTTTGCTAAATAAAGGAAATCAACAAAAACTATAATGTCAAGAATAATTGCGAAAAATATTTTTACTGTGTGTTAAATTTGGAAAGATAACTTTTACAAATTCTATTCAATTTTACGACTGTGCAATTTTTAAAACTTATTTGTTAGGTTTAAATGCTGTTCTGCTTCAAAATTTTTTCAGAAAAAAAACTATTAGAGTACTGACGCCTCTAAAAGGTAATAGATTTGATTATTTAATTAATTATATATTATGTTTCAGAATAAAGTATATAAGCACAAGTTAATTAGTTCATGTGTGATCACATAAATTGATTAATATTCTTTTTTTTTTAAGTTTATAGCATTTATGATTTTTATTTACATTTTATTGGGCATGTTTACTATTAATAGGGGAGAGGATACTTGTGTGGGTAGTTTTCATCAGTTACTAAACTATTCACGCAACTTCAGTTTAGGCACATCTCTTGAATAATACATAAGTTAGGATATATAATTTTAATCTAACCACACTATCTCGATGATATGATGTTAGAGTGGATACCATAAAATTGATCATATAATCTGTTATCTTTAGAAAAAGCGAGTTAAATCAAAATGGAATTAATTTTAACCTATAAATGCAGAAGTAGATTTTCTAACAACCTGAAATCTAACAACATAACTAACGCGATTCTTCACGTCAATAATGCTACAAGATGGCATTTATTTTTGAATATAAAATTGCTACCATTTTATTAAAACTGTATATAGATAAAAGGCAAATTACCCCAAATAAAGTACAAAATTTAAAGTACTAAATAAAATATAGTTTATCCCTGAATCACTATCGTAAATAAATATTTCTGTAAACATCATTATATAAAATTTTACGGTAAAAATATATTTTACGGATACTGCATTTAAGATGACAGTACTTTTTTTCTGGAATTTGATTTGTAATTTCATGCTGTGTATTTTGACTTTTTATTTTACAGTCATAATTCACAATGACTTACACTATATTGGATAACCAGAAAATTAAATTACTATCAAATTTAATAAATTTTTTAAAAATATTTTTACTTTCGAACCATTTATAATAGAAGTGAATTTTAGAAAAGTTAAGTTACAGTAGACTTTACAGGTCTTATTATTAATATTATTTTTCAGAAAAAAAGACGAAATATTTCCTTACTATTAACGAAATTCATTTGCTCTAAGAAGTAACGTTAGTTATTTCGTCTCTTGAACGAAATTTTCGCTCCGAGGAAACGGCTTCGTCATCAACGAAGAAAGTTTCACGAAATTGGAGTATCCATTTCTTTACAGTGCAATTGCATTTTTAAAACTGCCTGAGAGAAAATAAATTAATTCACAATTATTTTCATGTCTTTGTAATTTTTTTAAAATTTTATTTTAGATTCGTGTGGTGAGTGCGTTCCGAAGCGGCATGGACTCCCGCAAGAACTCGACTGCAGACGCAAGCGGTGCCCTCGGTCGCTCAGCGAGCAAACGCGTACCCCTGCTGCATCCGAACGCTACTGCTTCCACTAGCGCTGACGTTATCAAGGACGCCACGACCAGTAACGACAAGAAAAATTCCGCTCACAACGAAACGCCTGTTTGAATACTCATTACTTAAACAAACAAATAAAAGAAGAAAAATCATAAATTAAATATGAAGAAATGCCACCTTTTCATCTCTTATCTTCTCTCTTTTCCTTATCTCTCAAATCTCTTTCTAATCTCTTTCCTCTCGCTTAAAGAGAGGAAAAGGTAAAAAAAAAATAAATAAAAAAAAATCTTGATTTTTCCTGGCTGTTACACATCATAGTAAACTAGAAGAAAACACTACTTATCTAGCGAGCGAGCCATGATGGGAAAAGCCATGGTTCGATTCAGCTGGCTGGCATGTAACACTGTATGTGTTTTTATAAATACAAGTAGAAGAGAAGAGATATCCAATGAAGACTGTAGAAGATTATATATACATATATAAATAATATAAATTACTAAAAATTGGGGAATAAGGTTTAGATCCCAAGGTATAGACCATCTATAGGAAATCGCTCTTTAGTGTGTTAGATTGAAGGCTGCTGACTGCGGCCAAAAAAGTGACATTTAAAACACATTGTACATTTGTAAAGTGCTCAAGGGTCAAACAAAAAGAGTACCAACTCTACATATATCATTGTGGTGAACAGTTGTGAGGTAGCAGTGAACTCTCACTTTTTCTTCGACCTAAGAAATATAAATATATAAATAATTCCTCGAGGACTTCTATGCAATTAGAGTGTGATTGTGCAGGAATCCTGTGCAACAACTCGACCAGAAGCATCGAGACATCTGACAACGAGTATATATATAAATAAAAACAGATAAAAAGTTAAAACAATTCAAAATGGACAAGCGATTAAAATAATATTAAAAAAAAAAAACTCCAAGCCAAGTTCCTCTTCGCAATTATTTTCACTTCTTCAAGCTCCAAACTATAAATATTGAGGAAGTTCAGAATGAAATGGAGACGACGGCTTTATATGCAGCGAATAAAATAAAGTAAAATACACCCTCCCTCTTTAATATAGCAATTTTTTTTCTCTCTTAAAAACAGAGAAAATAAATGAGTATTAGCCATTTTTATATATACCTTTCGCCTTACGTATAACTCAAAACTCATCGATGTTGCAAGTACTTGTAAATAATTTAATCTTTAGGTGATGGGGCCGAGTTGTTGGAAAGTAGAGTTGAGATGTTCAATAAATTAAATGAATAGTCCATAAAATGCTTCAATAATAATAATAGAACCTGCTTAGATTAGGTAAATCTTAATTTTAAAAATCCACCAATCTAAAATAAATCCCGATTTAAGATTTAGAAAGTTGTGTAAATTCAAATTTGAGTAAGAGCTATAGTTTTTTAATATTCTGTCATAATTTTGAAAAAAATAAAATCTTACCAACGAAAACACAGTGCGCATATATTACATTAGCCTTAGGTAGGTTTTGTGCATTAATCGTAGCTATTTTTCACATAATTGTGCTTGGGAAAAATTTTTTCAAATTTTAGAACTCAAAGTTAGTTTAGATTTTGATGTGTCACTTTAACAGCCACTTTATTAGGATTGAAAAATTTAAAAAGTTAAAAAAAAGTACATGATAATTTTGGTGCTCCGTATTACATTAATAATTTTTAAAGTCTTAATTCAATTAGAAAAAAGTGTTTTTAAGAGGAAACTAAGTGAGTGTTGTTTAGTTAAATGTAATTGTATAAAATTTCAGCTATACTTGGAACAGTTTTTTAAAAAAACCTCCAAAAAATAGAACAACCCTTCTATGCAATTAATATCATTATACACAATTAGATCACATCATTGTATTTTGTACAAAAGTATAATTATCATCCGTCGAAAAATGTGTCGTTCCTGTACATAAAAGGTAAAATCCTTAGCAAGATTCTTTTTTGAGATATGTATGATTAATAAAATCCTTGAAAAGATATTTTGGTAGAAAGTCTTGAAAAATTCGCATAGTATTTAAACGTGTTATTTAAAAATACTTCTATGTATAGCAACAATATTTCTATAAAGGAAATATCATAGCTATTTCAACTAGTGAAATGTATTGCGGATTATAACTTACAACGCAAAGAATGTGCGAAACTCATTAGATATCGCATAGCTTTTATAGTCATTTTTTGCGAGAATGCTCTTTGATATTACAGATAATTTTCAAATTTGTACGAAATAAGCCAGTTCGTAAAGTAATGCCGGTGGAAAAAGAATGAGGTGGACAGAAAAAGCGAGTTTAAATTATAATAACTAATTCAAAGAAATCAATCAAAGTAATGCATGTTTTGAAAAGATAAACAAGTTTGTATGGATTTTGGTAAACGCAAAATTGCTCTCTATTTTTGAAACATAATTCAATTGTCACAAAATATAACAAAAAAATATAAAATATTTTAAGAGTTTTTAAAAACATCGTTATTTTTCTGCAATAACTACATTTCGATTAATTTAATAATTTTTTGTAGGAAGAAAATTTAAAAATAATTTTTATAGGGAAAAACCAATAAATATTTTATAAATAAAAAAGAAATCACCGAGTTAATTTTTAAATAAAAAAAAATAACTTAGCACTTATAGCCATAAACAATATTTAAAAGAAAGCACATTGAAAAGTAATTCATCATATCAAACAAAAAATTCATTTGTAAAAAATTCTTCAAAAAAAAATTACAAATTTGATATAAAACTAAAAAAAACAATACATTCATCACTCATCAAATATAATTTAAAGCTCTCAGGAGCACGTATTAACACAATGTAAACGAACAAATGTTTAAAATTTAGAACAGTCAAAATATGGAATATCAACAATTTGCGACACTAATTTGCCTGTTTGGCGACATTTTATAACGCCAAAAGATTCGAGTGACACGTATGCAATTGAAGTGTGAAAAAGATATGATATAAACGTCGTCTCCATGCATTCTTTCTTCCACGGGATTTATTAGATTAAAAGGGAGGGACGTTCAAATTTTTTATATCCTCTTCTTCCGTTGTAACGGGACCATTCTAGCGCTTCTGTTAACTGTTCAGTTATCCTTTGCATAAGGAATGGGAGTTTATGTTCATTAATTTTTTTATATGTGAGTGTTTGTCTATCTGCTTTCAGCACTGGCGGCTTTCAACACAATCACTCAATATAAGTGTTCTCCAAAAAAAATTAATCTATGCAAAGTAGCTATGCAGTATGTCTTCATACAGATATATATGATTTGTGGAAGCTTTTCATAAAAGCGGAACATTGTGTACTTTTAATGTTTGAAATTACTTAGGTTTGCAAGGTTTATAATGTGTTTCTTCTAATACTGTTCCTAAAAGTGGTGGAAGAAGAACGAAAAATTTATGTAACATATTGTTTTTTTCTATCATGTCTCAAATATTCTTTTTAAACACTAGATTTTTTTCATTTTCGACCTCGTTTTATAATAATAAAAAAAAAATTTTCAACGTTTGGGGAACACTACAATGAAAAACATTTTTGTTGTGTGATGAACTGAATGTTAAATAATATATAAAATTATTTATTGCATAAAAAAAAATTCAAAAAATTGTTAATTTAACAGCGTTTCTTAACTTGAAATCTGCCACTGAAAACTTTATTTTAAACATGCGAATGAAATGTAAGGATTTGAGATACATTCTGGTTGTTTTTAGAAACATTAAATACACATTTTCTTGTTTGTTAAGCCCTTTTAGTTATACATTTATTGTTCTGAGTTAATTATCATCATTTATTGAGTCATAACAGTTTTGATTTTAAGATGAAACGGATTTCAATTTATACTATTTAATTAAACTAATATTAAAGTGATTCTGTAAGTATTGAATTAATATAGAGTAATTTTTATTATATGTTTTGATAGAAAGCGAAAATCAAATTAATCGATTTTTGATTGAACATTATATGCTTGCATTACTTAGAACGCACTGAGGGCAAAATAATTTGGCTTATTTTTCTTTTATTATATTACTTATTACTAATTAATCAATTATTCGAGCTATTATTATTATTATTTGTTATTATTATTTGCTGTTATTTATCAGCACACGAGTAAAAATTTTGGAAATAAATTGTAGCTAATATTTTCATAGAACACAGGGATAAACACTTTGGTAAAATTCCAGTACTGTAAGTAGTGACATTTCTGGTAAGAAAAATATGCTAGTAAAAACCGAAACATACGTTACTCAAATCATTTATTTGGTATTTGTTTTCGTTCATACGGTGAAGGTTTACCAGAAATTCTGATTTTTAGAATTGAAGTTCTTATTATTACATATTAAGTTAAAAGTTTTAGTCTTATTACTACATGTTTAGTTGAAGTAAATTAAACCGAAAAAATTAATTTTATGTCAAGCCCTAAGATGTCATGATAAAACTACCAAATTGCTGACAGATAATGAACAATATTTTATTGTTAATTTTACCAAAACTCTTCGGTTAAAATTAACGAGTTTTTTCGTGTTTCCATTCAACCAGAAACATGGTACATTTTACCATAATCTAGCAGTTTTAACAGTACCTATTTTTTTAGTGTAACACTCACCAAAATCAAAATACTAGTTAATTTTTAAAATTTTCATTATTAACATATTATTTACATGTTCATATATTGTATTCCGACCAATCGATTCCCTACACTAAGCATTTTAAGGCGATAGCTGCACTAAATAAATAGTGTTTTATATAGAAGATTGTTATTTGTAAAGCATTTAGAAGAAACTGATTGTTTATCAACGCGTGGCATGCGAAATTGTAAACTACAACCCCTAAACAACTTTCATTTGACTGCTTTTTCTATGCAAAAAATATGTATATATAAATCAGAGAATTTTCTGATGATTTAAGGTGCTATGTTGTACAATTTACTGAGTATAATTTTATAGATATGTATTGCGCTTGCTATTTATTACAGAATAACGCTTATACTTAAAAATATTACGTCCTTAGAAACTCAGAGTTAAGAACCGCTGTTACATAACAATAACTTTAAAAAAAATTAATGTCTTTTCAATATATATTACAATGATTATTATAGAATTTTCAATTTTTAATGTTTATTACTTGCCTTGTTGATTTTTTATAGAGCTAATTGAGACACTGCCACTTTTTCTATTAATTAGCACGTCTTGAAGGCGTGTATATGAATTATTGTTGCTATATTTATTAGAATTATAATTTCGATAACATTTCTGTATACATCTTATGCATAAATGTTATGGAAAACCGCATAACATTTATTCCCATAACACTTGTGTATACATTGTATTTCATTTTTTGTGTGTGACTCACTGTTGAGAAATCATTCTGTATTGCAATTTCATGCATTTTTACTATAATTAGCAACATTAATGTGTTACGTTTTATCAATTTATATTGTTCAATTCAAATTTCAAGAACTTCATTTTATTAAAGGTGGGCCAAAGCTCTTAATTATAATTTAAAGAAAAATGCAAAAATTTGATTTAAATTAGGAATACGAATAATTAAAAAAAATTTTTGTTTTAAAATAATTGATACACTTAAAGTATATTTCAAGAATTTAACGTCAAAATTTAAGAATTATATACTATAACTTGTTTAAAAGTACTGTAATTTGTTTAAACCTTTTTCAATATAAATAAGTACCAAATTCTATAATGCTGCTTATAGTAGATTAATGCAACCTTTATTCATTGAATGCAAATTTTATACATAAACTTGAATCTATGAATTCTTCTTATTCTTCTATGAATTATATTAGATTTATGAATTCTTGGTACAATCATATAATTTTCATACAATTAGTTACAATACATAAATCTTAATACATATATAAATCTTAATAAATAATATAATTATCTTAATACAATACTATGATATATCTGAAATAAAATAATTTATTTAATAAAATAATCGTTGAATATCGGTTATATTCTAAGTTATAGTTGATGAATGAATACTTGATACAATCATATAATTTTCATACAATTATTTACAGTATGTAAAATCATTATTCAACTAATATGAGAGATTTTCTAACTCAATATTTTCCTCAATAAAACAATCCTTAAATATCGGATTTTCGCTTCGTTATAGTAGATCTTTGTGTGTGGATACTTGATACAATTATGTAATTTTTATAAAATTATTTACAATCTAAAAAAATATTCATGCACAAATATTTATTCTACAATGATAGATCTTCTATCTCAATAATTTCTTCAATAAAATAATCGCTAAATATTGGCATGAATCAATTAATTTCTACGTAAATTTTGTTTTATTTGGAATAAAGTTATTAGTTTCGTCTTAATAAAAATTTGAATCAAAATTAGATTAATTATTTTTTGATTACCAAAAATTTATATTTTAAATTATTTTTGAGGTCCGTGCCCACCTTAAAAAAATTAAATATGTAATATAAAAAATATATATGAACTTTAAATATAAACTATTCCAAATAATGCTTGCTTGTTTTGAACTTGAAATATACATTTAGATGGTGTATAATACATATAACATTTTTGATTTTAGTGTTGTACATATGCATATATATAAATTATATCCTTTTATTATCTAGTTGTTGATATTATAAAGAGTTTAAATATATTGATACATGCCCATGATGATTATAAATATTTGATGAAGTTTAGAAAGATTTATAATTGAATGTCAGCAGCATTTTTTCTCCTTAAAATGTTTATTAAATCGAAAATTGATATTTACTCGTAGGAAATATACTGAATTTTATATCCATAATAAACTAGGGTAAGAAAATTTACCTTTTTGCCAAAACTGAATCTAGACACTTTTTTATTTCTATTTAAATTGTAGAATAAATTTGTCATCCTAAATGTAGCTTTGTTTTATCAAAACAGCTATTCAATAAAATTCCATCTGTGTATTAATTAGCTTCAAAATTGTTCTCCATATTTTGGAAAATATATTAAAGGAAATTTAAAAAAACAAACAATAACTTTAATTTATGTTTCATAAAGTAAAATTAAGTGCTATTAAATTGTAATATGATTTAAAATTACTGTGTTAGTTTGAATGCCCGTGTGATTGATATTTATGATGAAATCTCATGCTATGCAGTAATGAAATGCCTGAATACTATGCAATAAAATAGGACAAAAAACAAATTATCTCGTAAATGTAACGAACGAAATATTTCAAAATGTATTATTAAAAAAAGCATGTATTTTTCTTA